CTGTAAAATCGCCTAAGTTAGGTCACTTAAGATTTGAACATTTATATCTTAGGGATCGTCCATAAATTACGCAAGGCACAAGTAAATATTTTTTAACTTTTTTTTCTTTTTGAATCTTACAGATAGCTATATCGCTAATTTATATTGTAAAAATAAAATAATAAAAATAAAAACTAGCATTCGATATTTTGTTTCAAATGAAACAAAATATCGAATGCTACTTAGACCAAACTTTCCAACCTGTGATTCGATACTTTTAATAATTTCTATAATGCCTGGATTTATGAATTGATTTGACTTATTTTAATATTTTTTAATTTATTTGTAACATCAATCATTGCTAGTTATAGACCTTAAATTTATAGATACTGGTGTTTACTTACTATCTATCATTGTGAGGCAGAAATTTAAAAAGTTTTTTTCATATCTTTGTAAGTTTCATAATATTATAAGTAGTTCATACTATTTCTAAGAAATTTTCTTGAAATTCATGTATAGCAATTTAACAAATAATGGAGATTAGATACAGGTGCTTTTGGTGAAAAATGCAGATTTTAAATAGATGTTTATATTAAAAGTTTACACACTTAATTAACCAATCTTAATAGATTATTCTGGGTTGTAGTCAGCTTGAAAGCATTATTAAAAAACATTCTATAAAAAATTACCCTTAAACAAAAAATATAAAGCTTAATGTAATAAAATAATAATAAATTTAAAGAAATTTTTTACGAAATATTTTTTGTAAAAGAATTTTGAAATTTGATTTATTATAAATTTTTAAAAATATAAATGATAAACAAAATCTTAGTTTTTTTTTTAACTTTCATTTTAAGACCTTTTTGGTTTTAACCCTCAAGCAATTGAATTAAAATGTCTTTATAACTTAAAAGCTAAATATATATTTTTATAACTTATTAGGAATATTAGGAATAATATGTAAAATTTTTACATTTTGCAAGTAACCAATATATTATTAAATTGGTAACTACTCTAACCTATATATTATATAATTCGTAATTACTACTATATTCAAAGTTAAACAAAAAATATTATGGAACCACACAAAAAATATCCTGAAACTATTTCGCAACACTTTTGATGAGCTGGCCTATTTACTAGCAATATGCTAGTAAATAGGCCAAAATTTGTTTTTCGCAAACTTATTGATGAATTTTAGTTTTTTTAATGTATTATGGTATTTATAAAACATTTTTTTCCAAATAATAAAGCACAAAAATTGAAAATATTTTATCGAAAAAAAATTTTGAAAAAAAAAATTTATTAGCTCAGATACAAGACTTCACGCTTAATTGTACTGTTATGTCCCACTGTTCCGATATACCCCGCTTTACCCTATCTCGATTTTAAAAAATGATAAGTAAAAATGAATAACTTATAATTTTTCGTTACAATATCTAGAGTAAAAATATATTGTGCTTTTTATCCAAAAAAATTTTATTCGCAAAATATTCTTTAAATAATTGAGGTGATGCTGAACTTTATTCTACCTAAAAACCTAATTATTTCAAACAAGAGATGTTCTTTCTTAACAATTTTTTTTTTTTAATTTAATGAAAAGCTTATCAATTGTATAATTTAAAAACTTTTATTCTTTTTTTGATTGCGAAAACTAATTACATATTTAAAAAGGAAATCAATCACTAAAGTTTTTAGTTTTTACGGAAAACTGCTTCAAAAAGCTATTTTAATGCGCATGCTCACAACAAAATCTTAAATGCTTATATCAATACCATCTCATAAGTTTCGATACCATCTCATAAGTTCGGTCACTATATACATTCCAATTAAAACATCGCGATGTTACAAATTTAATTCTCCAAAACATAATCATAAATTTAACATCCAAATAACACATCACTATAATATATTGCAATATTACGAATTTAACATTAAAAATGATGAAAACTAGATTTCTAATGTTATTTTATAATAAAATTATGAAACAAAGCCGTTCAAAAAAACTTCAATTTTTAAAATGATTTTTTTTTTAATTGACAACTTTGATAAAAAAATATTTATTAAAAAGCAGAAAATTAATTTTTAGCAAACTCTTGTCTGACACAAGAAAATATTGTACTAAATCTATCTACTTAAATTCTGCTCTTCAAGAGGCATCAGCGAAAACTAAATTAGAAAAAACGTCGGTTGTTGAGGCTTCTAACAACATTATTCTATAAATTAAAGAATAAAACACTGAAACAAGTGAGGCACCATATTGCGCTTAGTATTAAAGAGGAATATTGTTTTAAAAATCAGTTACTTTGTTTAAGTATCAAAGGAATACCAATTGTTTATGGTGTTAATGACTTGAAAAGTTTTTTAAAAATCTATCTGGATGATAGCTGAAAAAACGATTAAATTAGTTTAAAGATTGCCAACCACTTTAAAAATGGTATAGATCATGGTTATGCTATAAAAGAGTTTAGTGTGACTCAACACAATGAATTTGTGATATATTAACAAATCCAAGTTGATTTTGATTTTTCAAGTTGAAAGATACAATGATAATGTTAAAAAAATCTGTGTCTCAGAACAGAGTACTTATGATATCTACTAAAACCAAGAACCAACAGCTTGTTGAAAATTCATTTTCTCTCATCGGGTATGAGGAAACTCTGTTTCCTATCCAAGTAAAAAATTGAAATTGCTGATAAATTGTTTGGAAACATTCCAAATGAGGGCTTCTCAATTGATGAGAGTGTGTATATAATAAACAATGACATGTTGGTTTAAGAAAGGAGACATTAAATTTATTCACATTCCAGATATCATAACTCTGATATTTTATAAACCTTAAACACTGTGATATATTTTTTTATAGGAAATGTTTATGAGTATAGAATTATATTATGTCTTAAAAAATTTTTCCATCATAACCCTAAAATTTGATCAACAAGTTTATTTAGTGATTTGCAGTATTTTATTGAATAACTCGTATGTTTATTGCCAAAATATTTTAATTAGATATATTTAAAAATTTTATAAAACGATACAAAGAAATCTAAACAATTTTCTATAACAGAAGATTAAAATTGATATTTAGTTTAATAGTATTCAAAGTTACCCTAAATCCTCATTTAAAC